TAAGTGAATTACTTAGGCATTCGTTTTTGAAAAATTTATGTTATGAAAATCTATACGCAATTCTTATCGTAATCATAATAATACATATTTCATTTTACTGACCTTTTTTTGTTTCTTTATCGCCAAGTACTTGATGTATTGAATCATCACATTTTTTATTTAAGAAAGATTTTTTATAATAGATCGGTTGTTGTGATATATCTGAAGCTTTAGACGGATACAAATAATATCACAAGAGTCAACAATATTGAGCAGTGCTCATACCTTTATTCAATATATGATCAGTGGCCTTCTGTTTATCTTTGATGAATTTGTCTGAACATCTTTTAATAGTTGTTATGCTACTTTCTGTTTCTCCAGGAACAGGATCCTTGTTTAAAACAATAGTTTTTGATGAGTTAACTTCAGAAAGAGTACTTGCAGACGTTGATTGAATATTACGTAAGAAATTAACTATAATAGAAAAATCGAAACAAAAAGTTTAATAAAGAAGTAACTGACAATTATCAGATTGCATCGTTTTCGTCGTATTGATTAAAGTCTTGGTTGTCGATATTTTTCCATTCAAAAATGTTATTGATTCATTAATAGATGTTGAAATTGCCGGCATCTAAAAAAGGATTGTTCGACAACAATTTATGTTATAAATATAATATTCATACAGATGAACTTGAAATAGAAGAATCCAAGTTAATGTTGCTTTCTGTTATTACAGATGTTAATGGATGTGGTATTTGTTGAAATGACGTATCTATTGTTTTGGACGTATAAAATACTTTACCATAAAATAGCATTAAAGCTTGTGGATGGTTTAAAACTTCAGCTGAAGATACGGTTCGACAGTGTACATCATCAACAAGAAACCAAAGGTTGTCTACTGATCGAACATAACAATAATAATGACCACTGTTAAGATCATCACCTATATGATTGATGATGGCGTACAATTTGTAAAAAAAGTTATTTGATGAATCGATGTTTTCAGTTTTATCGCTTGAAGCAACTGAATAAGACGTCATATAAGGAAAAACATCTAGCAGTTCATTGTAATTCACTTGATGTGAAAGCTTTTCAGTTGAATCGAGTGAGACACGACATCGTTTAAAATTTATAATTAATATTGGTGATAGTTCATTAATAGTAATACGTTTGTCGAGTTTTACACATTTACAACAATCACTACACGTAAAGGAGCTTACTTCTTCTCGATCAAAGAAATGTGCAAGTGCATCAGTTAAATTGTTCAAATTATTGATTTCGATTATTAACATATTAGTAGTTTCTTTTTTTTTGAAACTATATAAGCACGATGGACATTGTCCAGATGAAAGAAGCTTAATATTAAATATTTGATCAATAATCGTTGATTCCAAAGAAAGAGTAGATGATATTGACAGATGTGATGGTAAACAACAAATAAAATGATCGAACAAAGTAATAATAAATTCACTAACATCTTCTTGTTCCCCAATATTAAAAACAGGTGATATTAAATGTACATGAGCTCTAATAGAATCTGCTGATGGAGTAATAAGACAATGCGATTCAATAGGTGTGTTTGTTAATGACGGATGCATTGAGAACATCATTTTTGTTAATTCGCAGATAGAACAAAATTTTCGTTGATGTGATAATTTACCTAAAATGCAAATATACAGTCAACAAAGTTGGGTAATAAATGTTGCTTTTTTATATTGAAATATGTTAAACATCGAACCGAACGATAGAAAGGTCTCAGAATATCAATCAATTTCAATAAATTCATATGCAAGAGAAGAACAAAAAGAAATTGAATAAGTCAATTATAACCATCAAGCAATATGAATGTATTTGAAATCGGTATGAGAAAATATATCTAAATATTATTAACTAACTCATACAGATACAAGCAATGATGGATACTACTGCGCTTGCTACACTTTTGAATATCGCATGGTGTTCTCCAGATTTCTTGACGACTTCCATAATAAAAATATCAAAAATAAAAACATCCATTGTCTCGAAACCAGTTTTTAAAAAGGTATTGAGTCTATATTACTCACAACAATCGTCGAGAAAATTGTTCTGTATGCTTATGTAATTTAGATGAAGTCTAAGTCCAAACTATAGTAATGAATATGAAAAAGAAGTCAAAATCTTTTTAGAAAAAAGCTTCACAGCTTTATGTTTAACACATTAAGTCACGAAAGTAACACATAAATATTAGAAAATAGTAGAACATGAATAGATTCTACCCTATTTTCATACAATGATAGCATAAGTCCACAATCATTCACAGTAATAATACGATGCAGAAACAAATCAGATTCGGCATAATCTGGACTTTCAACCATGATTCTTCTTCAAATTAACAGCAAAACAAAGCTGACGTTTTTCAGTTTGAAAATATCATCATATCTCTGAAAATATTCATGAAAAATGAATTGAAAGAGCTTCTAGTAAATTTTGTTGATATTTATTCAGAGTATACAGTTTTATTTTTTTTAGAATCTTTATTTTCTCACAGACA